TTTTTTTTTTTTTTTTTTAAACCTGCTCTCGTCCTCAAAGATAATGCTCTGTGTTGTTTCAAATGCCTTTGTGTTGTCCGTTCATTTATATTTTCTTGCTGTTCTCACCCAGATTATACGCAGGGCCTGAGGTGGACATCTGGAGCAGTGGCGTGATTTTGTATGCTCTGCTATGCGGAACGCTGCCGTTTGACGACGACCACGTGCCAACACTGTTCAAGAAGATCTGCGATGGGATCTTCTTCACTCCTCAGTACCTGAACCCCTCTGTTATTAGCCTTCTGAAACACATGCTCCTGGTGGACCCCATGAAGAGAGCCACCATTAAAGAGATTCGGTCAGAAACTACACAAACATTTGTGCAGTCCATTTCTTTTGATAATGCTAAGTGCAAATCAACCTCATCTCTTTTTCTGTTCATTGCTCTCCATTCTCAGGGAGGATGAGTGGTTTAAACAAGATCTCCCCAAGTATCTGTTCCCAGAGGACGCTGCATATAGCAGTAATATGATTGATGAGGAGGCGCTGAAGGAGGTGTGTGAGAAGTTTGAGTGCACTGAGGAGGAGGTGCTCAACTGCTTGTACAGGTTTGTTTGCTTTTTTTGTTTTTGAATCACATATTTTGTTACTTTTGCTTTTTTTTGTTACTTGCTATTAGGCATGGGCCAATTACCGGTTTCAAGGTATACCGCGATTTGAAAATTTCACGGTTTCAAAACCACTAATATTTTCCGTTATACCGTTCCTGCAGTATGCGCAGTTTTTCATGTCGTCTCAAAGACTGAAAGTGTAGGAATCCCTCAGGTTGAGTGCAGTGTAGAGAGTAACACGACCCTCCTCCTCCTGTTGGTGCGAGCGAGCGGTCGGTCGCGTGTGTGTAGGATGGCCGAACTTAAGGAGCTGCCCCTGGAACTTACGCGATCGGCAACCGGCCGTTTTTTTCGTCTTATTGCAACCGGTCTCTGTTCTGGACTTGCACAAACTGCGTTGCAATGCAATAATTTTCCAAAATGTCATTTATGTGAAAATATGAAGTCTGTAAATCCCCGTTAACAGAGGCCAGAGACGCTGAAGACGGATGCAAAGAGAAAAATACTGTAGCAGGAAGATCACTCAATGTTCATGATGCACGAAATATTGGAAGAAAATCCTAAATATTGATTTGGGGATTTACATTAATGTTTCTGAGGGGAACTGACTGTCTTCAGAAAAGTTTAAGTGGTATTTTCTTTTCATCTCGTCTCTGTATAATTCACATTAAAGCAGTGTTTCTATGCAGTTCTGCTTTGTTTACAGCGGTAACCAAGGAAATGCTGTATCTGGTGTTCCATGAGCGCCTCCTGCTGTCAGAGAGTGAATATATAACTAAAATTAAATAACTGTAATTACAGATTTAGATTAAATAAAGATGTCAGTTTTTTTCTTTATTTTTCTTCTTTTCTTTTTCACATCAAAAGCTGCAAGACAGCCCACAATTTAGCAAACATTTCCGAAACAAATCAAAGAAAAAATAAACAAATACTGCTGTTCCAAATATTCTGTATGTTGCTCAAAAATAAAATTTATTGTGTTCAGTGGAAAATGTTTTTTTTTTTTACCTAGACATTTAACTGTAACACATTTTAGAGCTGTAACAACGATACCGTGAAACTGTGATATTTTTGCTTAAGGTTATCATACCGTCAAAATCTCATACCGGCCCATGCCTACTTGCTATTGAGGCTTATTTAGGGTGTCTACACACTGGAGGAAGTTTTCATATCAGAGGAAATTATGAATTTCAGTTGGAATGGGGAATTGCATCGGTGTTGATGGAAAACGCAAGGTTTTTTTTTTATATGATCGCAAATTAAATATTTAAATTTTGCAAATGATTTTCATGTTGCCATCTAATCCTGGGTATTGTTAAAGATTTCCTGATTTTATTAGATTTCAGTTCTGAAGACATTTGAGTTTTGTTACTGAATAAATCTGCTTTTTTTGAACAAATTGTTTGAGTGAATGAACGATGTTTGCATCATTAACCCATTCAGACAGTCACTGAAATCATAAATGTTTCTGAATGAAGCATTCAGTGACATTCAACTCATTAAGATAGGAACTTGTTGCAACCTACTGGCGGTTTTAGTTTCCTGTTTAAACCCATTATTTCAATATTCAAAATTTGGTAACACTTTACAATAAGGTCCCATTAGATAATGCATCTAACTAAACTGAGCAATAAATTGGTTATATTATGTATTAATATTAACGCTATTTAATAAAAATACAACTCTTCATTGTTAGTTCATGGTAGGTATGGTCCTTTAAATAAAAAAACATTGTATAATATCTCATTGTCCCAATACATCATTTTTGTCAGTATCGCACTTCTGGTACATTTGGGTATATTACAGTTAAAACTTTCATTTTACTTTAGTATAAAAGACGTCTCTGCTAATTCGATTTAATTTTGTAACTCATCTTTTTTTTTTTTTACTACCTGGGCCGTACTAGCATATAAGCTCTTTTAGGGTCACTGCAGTCAAAATAAATGCTACCAAACAATTATAAACTCTCATCTGTCCTGTTTTTGTCCTCCCTTTCTTTGCAGTCACAATCACCAGGATCCTCTTGCTGTGGCCTATCACTTGATCATAGACAACCGCCGCATTATGAGTGAGGCCAAAGATTTCTATTTGGCCACCAGCCCCCCGGACAGCTTCCTAGATGACCTGCCTGCACACCACTCTGCAAAGATTCACCCTGAGAGAGTGCCGTTCCTGGTGGCTGAGTCTCAGCCACGTCCTCGACACACGCTGGATGAGCTTAACCCCCAAAAGTCCAAGCATCTCGGTGTCCGGCGGGCCAAGTGGCACCTGGGAATCCGTAGCCAGAGCAGACCGAATGATATCATGAGTGAGGTCTGTCGTGCTATGAAGCAGTTGGACTATGAGTGGAAGGTAAGC